TCTCATTCAAAAATATGATAATCTTTTTAAAAATTTTAGTTTTAATTTGATTAAATTTGTATCAATATAAGTATTACTTTTGCTCAATTCAAGACTAAAAATCTTCTATGAAAATCTTTGATATTTTTGCTTAAATATAAAAATACATATACTTGTATCGGTATAAATTTAATCAAATCAAGACTAAATTCTTATAAAAAGATTACGATATTTTTGCTCATATAGATGAGAATATAATAGATTTAAAATTAATTTTTTTCTGTGTAGTCATGACGAATCTTATGGCACGGTATTCGACGTGCCACCCGGTATATCAATGCATGAAAGAATCAACTGGCCGCATCGTCGTGGCGCGGCACGGCATGCGTAAAGAATCGTACACGCTCGCCGTCGCGTCGCGTACGCTCGGCAACGCTCGGCCACGATTCACGAACGTCAGCGACGGCCGGCCAATCGACGTGCCGCGCGATGAGTCATCCACGGCCGGGGCCTCATGTAAACTCTCTCGTGCCGTTCAGCCCGCAGTCTCCCGCCAATCGTGGTATTGTTATGATCAGTGTTCTGCGCTCGAGGGTACGAGGCGGAGCGCCAAAAAAATAAGAAAAAAAAAAAGGAAAAGGAGAATTTGCGTGCGCATAAATCTCGAGCTGAGGAATATTATCGGTTTCATTGAATTCTGTGTCAAATGATGCGGTGAGAACGCGTGGCTGGGATTAATTTTAAACATGATCAGGAAGGACGCGCCTTGTCTTGTACTCCGACTACCATTCCAAAATCTTGATTCTTGGGGTAAGCCAGATCGATTCCTTTTGTTATATTTTAATAGATATCTTTTTTGGAATATATACATGCGCACAGAGATATTTAATATTTATGAAGTATAGAGAAATATTCTGTAGACGCATGATATCATCGGCAGGAAAGTCCCCTCGGAGACTTGTAAATAAAAACATGAAAATAAAGCGCGTCAATGATAAATAATTTTTAGGATTAATGTTTAGTAGAAGATGATTTTTTTACTTTATTATATCATGTTCTTTATTAATTTCGTTTATTTTCTTAATTGTTATTATAAATAAAATATATATAAATGATTACAATTTCGGCTAGGTATTTCTGAATCATCATTTTGATGATGTCATAGCTGGCCCAGAAGAATGTAAGAATGTATTATTTTGTCTGAGTCTTTCTGATATCAAACTGTCTCGATTGAATTAGCAAGATATTTTATAAAATATCTTAGAAATATAAGGTATATAGCAATGAAAATATTACATTTCTCGTATAATGTTTATGGTAAAATTTACATTAAAATCTTGAATGTTTTAATGATAAAATTCCAATTTAATAATTCTTGAGATCTTTCTTTTGATTAACAGATTTTTAATCTTGAAATTTTCTGCATTTATTAATTTTTTAAATAATTATAGCTCTTACTTTATCTTAAAAAATATTCATAAAATATTTGGTTTATTCATAAAGGCTGTTATTCATAATATTTTATGTATCTTTATGGATAACTATTTTTAAATCTTCTTAAACATTATTATTTTTTGACAAACTTAAAATACGAATTTTTTGGGGAAAAATTTGACATAATTTGGCATAAAAGTTTAATTATAAATTATTAAAAATGAAACAAATTTATTAACTTAAATTATATAATCAAAACTACGAAAAAAGAAAGTTAAAAATATAATCATTGTATTTAATACAAGAAATTTTTAAAAAATTATTTATACTCTTTACATATATTGTTTATATTGTTTAACTAATTTTGTCTCAACTTTTATTATCGCGGAATGTTATATAAATTTATTTCTATTATTGTATATGATTGTAAAAAAATCATTAATTATTCCGTTTCATTGCTTGTTATATTCTAGCATTGTTCTAGCACATGTTATATTCTATAATTATTTCAATGATGGCTTTTAAACCATGTAAAATTGAACATCATTTTTCTCATGAAAATGCAATAATAGAATATTATTTTTATAAATCTCAAAATTAAAATTCTACTAAAATGTATAAAGACTTTCAATAAATTCTATTAAAATTTATAAAAAATTTTAATGAATAAATTTTTTAATTTTTCATTGCTCAATGATCAACATTGAATTAACCGTCTTTTTTTAATTATGTTAAATGCAAATTGCACGATAAACTTTCAATAATATGTATTTCGTACAAGTTCGTATCTGATCAACTCTTGCTTTCTATGAGATTTCTTGGGCCGCGGTTTTATTCGACGTCCTTCTTTTTTTTTATACAACCGACAATGTAATCGCGAAAATTCTCGGTATCAGCAAAAACTTGGATTCCATAGCCGTAAACATTCGCGTTTCCGCGTATGATACGCTGTTTCAAATTCTTGCTTAAGAAAGAACGATGTTTGAGCGGTGTTTAAGTAACAGGATTTTCACCGGGTGCGACGACCGTTGCGCGATCTCCCCGTAAATCGCACCACCGTCTCGATCACTGTACCGACCTAAATCAAGTAACCCACATTCGGCTTTTCCATAACGATTATGCGCTCTCGCGATGAACGTTTGAATCTTTAAATTTTAACTTCATCCTTAAGTCTACGATTCTTCGTTTCCACAACGATAAATTTGTCGTTTTACTATCATTTTTTTGAAAATATATCACCTATTATTCTTAATAATATATTTGAAACGATCAAAGATTTGATAAAAGAATGCAGATTTGGAATTTTTAACATTCAATATCTTATTGCCTAAGAATTTCATATCAATCTTCCGAATTTATTTATGTAGCAAAATCTAGTTATGACGGATTTCGTTTACGGAGAGATCTGCAATTTATCGTAGAAAGAAATTATAAAGAATGCAAGATTAACAATGAATAGCGTTATAGCATGAAAAATAGATCATCAGTGAAAGCTAGATATATGGAAACTGGATCAGTGGAAGTCGCAGAATATATAGAAGTTACATCGGTGGAAGTGGCGTTTTAGATCATTATTTCCCAAGAGAAACGTGTCATTATCGATATAACGCGCACCTCGCGATGGTCCCAATTAGAAATCACGAAATGGGAGGACTCCTGCCAGTGTTGAAGCAACGATCGGTGCTGCTTCTAATTTCGGGAACTTTCGGCAAATTATTTCAAAACATACACACAGACGATTTTGCATTAGTGGTATTATTAGTCATGCACTATCGCGAGCTCGATTTGAAATCGGGAAGGAGCTCTGCCAACGTTGGAATAATGATTGGCGACGACAGTTTGGGGTTGGTGGCCGCTTCGCGAGAGCCAACCGACGGGGAGGGGCTGGACGGGGAGGTGGCGAGGGGGGAGGGGGAGGGACTAACGAGTGAGTCATCGTTGAGCCAGGCCAGGCCTTAGCAGCCGCAGGTCAGGAGAGGAAGACACTTTTAGCCCACATTTCTTCCTCGCCTTCTCTCTCCTTTTCGCGTTCGTGGCGTTTCTTTATTTTTATCCGCCGCCGTTTATTCTCGGCTCCGACGTTTCTCTTCCTTTCTGCCCATTTTTTCCGTGCGGTCGCGTCATCCCACCCTTCATCCGTATCGCGGTTGCGAATCCGGACGACTCTGCAAACGGTGGCATCACTCTCCGAGATTTTATCTCGAATCTGCGAGACTCAAGTACAATCGGCATTTACGGATCCACGGAAGCTTAGTAGAGCTTTAATTTTCTAGCGATATAGATGTACGCATGGATACTTGAAAAAAAAAAATACAAATTGAATGCTTCCCTCTTCCCCAAATATTTCGAGACAACCTTCGGATTCTCTTCTCGAGAAAGGACTAGTAAGCTAGACTGTTTGAATTCCATCAAGCATTTGTATATAATAGCATTCCATCAAGTATTTGTACTTATTAATTGAATACGCAACAACTGTGACAGACATTTTATTTATATGTTTGTTCATAATCATAGAGTTATTTGCGAGATATCCACTTTTAGAGCTTTCTCATAGGAAATTTATGGCTTTTCTAATCTGTCCATCGATATCCCTTCGAGGCTTTAAATTATGCTCGAATACTTTGGCTGTTTGATTAAATTCTAGATCTTCATGTTTTCAAGTTTTTTGGAAGTTTCGATCACTTCTTGTATCCTTTTAGTTTCGTTGGGTACTTTACATTTTTAGAATTCCAAACTCCTAAAATGTTAGATTTCAATGTTAGAAAATCTAAAATGTAGAGAATCATCAGTATGATGATTCTCTGAATATATATTTTCTTTTCTTTTTTCAATGCTTTATATCTTTTAAGATTTTTATGATCTCCTAAACACAAATAAGATACAATTTAATACAATATTCAACAAATATATTTATTGGATTGATCATTCATTAAGAATTTGTCTCGATTTATATATAGAATTTGAAATGATCGCACCTTTTCAAACACACAAATGAATAATTAAAGTAGAATGTCAATACGAGATAGTGTCAAATTGATAACGTGGAGTAAAATCGATGTGAAATTATGTCCTCTGATATTCTTTAACAAAAAAAAAAGTATATATATTTGTAAAAATTCGAAAATGATAAATGATAATTCTATGATATCTATAAAGAATCTGCAAATAGACAGATCATCGAGTTATAATTATTTCGAATTATACGGAACGTGTATATCCAAGCTAATCAATAAATTGGCTCGACGATGACGTTTCTCCCAGTATATCTAACAGATATAGAATCGTGACCGACCATGTACTCATTGTTTATCGACGGCAAACGTTGTGTATGTTCCACATGTACATTCGAAAGCGAGTACATACGTCTGACTTCGTTTGATTTTTAATTCTCGCATAATAATTTAGGAATGGAATTGCCCTCCGACAAAACCAGCTCCGAGTCATCCAATAATTAAAAAAAAAAAAAAAATTAAGAGATACCATCTGACATTTCGTCTCTTCTCGTGCCTATCACGAATTATCATTGATATCTCAGAATTATACGTGACGCGTAGCCTTCTCCGCTAATTAGTCGCTTAACGTTTCAGGTGGTCATCGGGAATTTCACAAGCGGCACCGAAAGCTATGCGAGGACACGCTTCTGCCGAACGGAGCCGCAGCTGCCGCGGTCGCCGATCCATCGATGACGACGGTGAGCGGCTGCACGAGTCCTGGGCCAGGCTGTCCGGTGCTGAGCATCTCCGGCCCGCCGACCCCGCAGCCGGCCGACATCGACAGCCACCCGGCGTCCCGCGTCCTGCCCTTCCTTTATCTCGGTAACGGCAGGGACGCCGCCGATCTGCAGCTACTACGCGCCCTCGGCGCCACCCGGGTGCTGAACGTCACCTCCCAGCTGCCCGGCTACCACGAAGAAAGGGGTATCACGTACAGGCAGATACCTGCCTCGGACTCTGGCCATCAGAACCTCAAGCAGTACTTCGAGGAAGCATTCGATTTTATCGGTGAGTATACGATGAGATTTATCATTTCGCATTCCTTTCTCAAGGAAGATAGAGAAGAAGTCAGAGATTGTCGTACGACTTTCCATACCGCAGATGCGATGTTTACAGAATGTTTATTCTTTCTGGAAAATCTGGAATTCTCAGAAAATTTTTTTTTACTCTTGATAAAATAAACTTATTTTAATGTTGCGTTTAATGTTGCGTTAAGGATTCTTTAACTTGACTTGGAATTTGGAACAAAGATACCCGGAAATTTTCAGAGATATTTTTCTCAACGTTTGAATAGACTCTCCTGAATAATGTATAATTTTCACTTGAAAAGTAATAGTTTTCTAGTCCAAAACTCGGTTGAAAAATTGAGTGAAAAAAATTGTCTAAAGATGTCTAAAGTTGATTGTTCGGAATTACCTTCCCTTCTTTTGAAGGCAAAATTTCATAACAGCGTAAAATAACTCATTGCGCCAATCTTTGCGCCCTGACATCGTAAATCCATGTGATGATCGTCACGTCGGTTGAACGTAATTTCCACGATTACGTCGGCGGCACGCTTCCTGCCGTTCTTCTTCCGGTCGCCCCGTTGCCGTTCATTCCGTTATTTCGCGGCAAGTAGCAGCGGGCTACCATGGACGGAAACAGGGTGTAACCAGCCGTTTCCGGTGGACCATTGAACCAGAGCGCTCGAACACCAGGAGACCAGAAGAACCTTCCATTCATGAAGACATGAGTCATGCGCTCATGCATCCGTGAAACGTAAGAGACCTCCCTCTCCCCCTTTGACCCTGCGTTCTGTCTCCTCCATCCTTGACGTCGATTCCTTCCCTCTTGCGTTTACGCGCTGTTTTATGCATGAGCTACGCATCTGCAAGAAGAAGAGAGAGAGAAAAAAAGAAAGAGAGAGGGAAGGAGAGAATTAACTGTAGAAGGAAAGCAGGGTGGCAGTCGTGCGTGGCCGATTATAAGGGTTCGAAAAGGGACAAGAGAGGGATGGGACGGCGGGAAACGGACCTCCCCTCGAGCGTGCAACTGGTGGAATGCCGGTTGAATAAACCGACACCGCACCCTCTTACCGTTGGTATCCGATCTTAAGGTTTACTTTTGAGAAACTCATTCCCTCACGCGTCGTGATTCGCTTAATTGTAAATTCGTCGAGCAACTATCTTTCCTTTTTTATTCAGACTTGCAATTTCTTCACGCCATATGTCTGATAATGTAAACAATATTCTTTTTCTTTTTTCATCATAATTAATCATCATAATTCAATTTTCATCATAATTAATTGAAAAATGTCTAGAAATATGGTAGAATCTTAATAATAATAAACACACATTTAAATTAATAATAATAATGATAATTACCTTTTTTTTACTTTTTAGATAATTTCAATTTCTTCGTACGTGTCTTCTCAGTAAGAAACTTACCAGACATCCTTTTTTCTTTTTTTATTGTGATCGACTTGAAAGTTTTAAGATTCTTAAGTGCACAGTGATTAAAGCTATCTTTCGACAGAGGCGATCAACTTGTCGTACGTAGTCGAATTCTCTCGCGGTGCGATATATAATTTCTGCATAGTCTGCATAGGATCCGGGCGATGCAGTGACTCACGCTGGCGATACGATAGCGTCCCCCATATATTGCATAACCAAGTCGGCCGTTCGGGTTTCACGATTGTTTCGTTTCAGCGTTTACGAGCACGACCCGTTCATATTTTTCAAAAGCACAAGTTGCGTCCTGCACAAAGCGACCCTGTGAATCCTCTTGAAATCCTTTCAGATCCCAACGATTCCGTCCTACACACATACAACATAATAACAGACGTATTCTTTCGACAACGCAAGAATCTCAGATCGGCATTGAATGTGCGTTTTTAATCATTAATATGATTTTCGAATAAAGCATAACGAGACTTTAATTTAGAAATATTATCAAATTTTACTACACATAAAAACTAAACTGATTGCAAAACGTTGTTTTACCGCGCATCCTTTCTAAGAAATTTAAAAAGGAAATGAAAAATTTGATAAATAAAAAAAAATAATTAGGGCAATAATTATTAAAAATAATTTCGGCATTTTATTGCCCTTGTGAGATAGAGAATTAATTATTTTTTTTCCGTTGAAATGATAATTTGTCATCATTACCATGACAAAGAAATGAGGCGCGCTATTTATTATCTCGCTAATTTACTTCTTGATGTTTCAGAGGAAGCGCGGAAGGCCGGAAGCAGCGTGCTGGTGCACTGTCAAGCTGGAGTGTCGCGCAGTGCGACGATCGCGATCGCTTATATAATGCGGCATAAAGGTCTGTCGATGGGGGAGGCGTACAGACTAGTGAAGAACGCGCGTCCGATTATCAGCCCGAACCTGAACTTCATGGGTCAGCTGCTGGAGCTTGAGCAGGGCCTGAAGGCGTCCGGTGACGTCGCCAACTCCACACCGGAGGAATCCACGACGGCGACGACAACGTCAACGATGACGACAACGTCGACGACGACGGCGGCGACGACGACGACGACGACAACGACGACAACGGGTAGTTGTCACCAGTGCAGGTGGAGTCACCAACCGAATAGCGAGGAGGTCGTTACCTCCGGCTGCAGCGTCTGAGACCGGGCCTCTCTCTCGTATCTTCTTCTTCGCTTCGATCTCTATCTAGAATACCGGATCGTCGGCGACGGCGTCGGTGCGTCGCGATGGCGCAAAACATATCCCGAGAGATCATCGAGAGCGAACGACGACATCCCTCCTGCGTATTCCTCGCGACCGGATGACGAATGAACGCAATTCGCGGGATTGGATCGCCGACCGTTTAAGGATATCACACAAGGATATCAGATTCAACCGTAGGAGAATTCTACAAAGACGAACGATGATGCTCTCTCGGCATCCTCTCTTGAAATCCCAGAATGCGGATCTATGGAATATTCGGTTTTCTCACGGCTCACGACATCTAATTTGTCGTGTTTTTCACTTCAGACCTCTTAGCCTAGAAATTATTGGCTTTTAAGTTTCTTTTTTTTTTTTTTTTTTTTTTTTCTTTTTCTTTCTTTCTTTAGAATTAGACGTTTTTTTCCCCGGATTCCGTGCCTTCGGGACGACCATTCAATCGAAAATGGTGAAGTCAAACTGCCGAACTGACAAATCGACTTATTAAGGGACTCGAAGGAATACAAATGTATGAAGAAGGCATGTCATATTCTCACGAAAGATGATTTGTTTGTATGAATGATTAAATTATTATTCTTCGTTAGTACCACGTACAGAAATTAATCCGTATGATCTACACGCAAAGGTAAATTGTTTATTATGGATGCGATATACCTTCTTCATACGTAAATTCAAGAAAAAGAGGAAATTTCAAGGGGATTCTCTATTTTGAGAGACGTAAAATATATACATATATGCGGTCAGGGAGCATATTTCACGCGAGAAGATCTTGAGCACGCTTGTTTCCAACTTCGATAATAACGAGCAGCGGCGCGTCACGATTATTTATTTTTGAATGACGTTCGCGTGAACAGTAAACATAACTTGTACTTACGACACACAGTGTTCCATAGTACGTCTGATGAGTCAATAGAAAGGCAAGTGAAACATGCAGGATGCTTGTCTATGAGCTCCTTGTTAAACGATTGACTATTTTGTCATTTCCGATTTGTTTATGCAAGAGAATAGCGACGAAGGAAGATATGAAATCGGCGGAAGTGACTGTTCCAATGATTGACTATAGGCAGCTTGCAATATGAAAAGGAACTGAGGACAGTTCATTACGGATTCTGTTCGTGTAGATTCAAAAATTGACGAATAACTTTAATTATTTGGAATTCACAAGTATTGAAATGATTTAATTAACAAATTAAATGCATTTTGTAATTTGAATATACATTAATATAAAAATTAACATACATAAATCAATCAGTAATAATCTCGTGACATTATTTTTAAATTTTTAAATTTTCAAATTTACAAAAAAATAAATAAATTGAAATTTATGAAAATCATATTCTTTAATCTTCGTACGAAGTGAACATTTTCAGCTCGAGCAATAGAACCTGTACTTGTCTTTCAATTGACTTTCTGGAAATCAGCCAATTTTTAATAGAAGAATTATTTTTTATATGGAGAGAATAACTGTCGACTCAATATGTACAGGGTGTCACAAAGATAAAAATATTAAGATTCTAATCTGTGAACTAATGGAGTTACATTTACGGTAGAAATCTCATCTCAAGTCATTCTGTTTTTAATATAAGATATTTTTTGTTAAGTCATGTGCGTAATGAAAACGATCAAAATGAAAAACAATTTGATTAATCTTTAAGGCGGAAAATGTGATAGATGACACAGTTGCACGTTCAAAGGAATTTAATTATAGAAACGATATTCCGAGAGAACTTTTACGATATCATAGCTGTTTCCAGCTAGCATTTTATTTTGTGTGGACAAATAAAATATTATTTTGTATTATTTTCAAAAGATTTTATTTAGAATTAAATGTATTTAATAAGAAACGAAACGTGTGCGATTATAAGTGAAAAAAAGCGGAATTTTTCTTGAGAACGCGCAATTCAGTTACTAATACAGAGACGTTAATAAGTGTTTGCCTATTCATATTTGTACGTGACATAAAATTTTTTAATTGCATTAATGTAGCAAATAGCAGTGCGATATTGCGGAAACATGACAGGAGATATGCAATTGCAAGATTTAAACAAAGCAACAGCATTGCTTAAGATTTGCAATATTGTAATTTTTCGAAAAAATATTTCTGCAATTTTTCAATGCTATGTAAATATTTTCACGTTTCTCCAAGATGTAAAATAGTGAGGATATTTATTTTAAAATGCCTTTTTTATCCAAAAATAAAACGTAAATGCAATTAAGACTTTATCATTTATTTTATTATAAAATATGATTTATATATTTAGAATAAAAAATGTAAATCATATGGATAGGCAAATTCCTTTGGACTCTAGAGTATATTCTATTTCTTGAGATACCCTGTACATCAGTATTTAAAACGGAATGTTAAATCTAATGGGATTCTCTGTGAAAGAATGCAACTATTGATGAAATACCATGAAATTCGTTAATTAATTAATACATCCAGATAAATGAAAAAAAAACGTGTGAGTGATACAAAGAAGAGGAAGAAAGCGCTACGATGGCAAGAATTAAGACATAGGTACAATAAAGCGAATCGACCGAGACTATTAATCAAGAGCGAGGAAGTTCGCCTGTCCGCGTCTGCAGTTCGATTGTGGCGCGGTTGATATTTGATGAAAAACAAGAAGAAATAATATATCGTTCATTGAGAATAGCTTAGTTCGTTAAGCTCCCTTAGCATTTAAGGATCTGGTTGAGGTCCAACCATCGTGATCTAGTCGTTTGTTGGGATGATGATACGTACTGGTGATGCGAATGAAGCGAGATACGAAGCGCGTAGATGCTCGGTAATTTGCGATAATGGGGAGTGATTGCAAAGCGCGTGTAATTATTAGACGATAAGACAAGGCAAGAGGACGTGACGGAGGAATTTCTTCTTTGCAAAGATCGGAAATGGCGATTCTGGTTCTAGGATTGGATTGGTTTATATACATATATGAGCGCTCTATGCATATTTGTCCAGACGAATCGCTCTTAAAGATACGACCAAGCAAAACCCGACGCAAGCAAAGTATTCCAAAGAGAGGTGCGTCAGCTAAAACAGCCCGGTTTGCAATGTAGACGAGAAATCAAAATTTGCCGTGCGAGCAACAATCTCGCGGGTCGACCGACGAGATGTCACGCGGCCGCGGAGGCGCCTCGTTAACGACGTTAATCACAGCCGACAATAAACTTCGTGGAGAAGCTACATTCGCGAATCGCGAAAGAAGAGTCGCGAACGAACGGGTAAGAAGGGCGGAGAAAGAACCAAGTTCCTTAGGATTTTGTCTACGATGACGAATTCGGATTAATTAATTCAATCTCGAAACAAAACGGTACATATCAGCGAAGCGTTGCCTTGCGATAAACGACAGTGAACTGAAGAGTAGTAGTCGTAGAGACGCACGGTGTAGACAATTAAACGATTTAAACCATTAGTTACCTTGCCAGCGATTATGAGCAAAGGGGGAAAGAGGATTGATATAGAAGCGTAGTAGTACCTGTTGCATCACGAAATGTGTATGTGTTTTATCGAGGCACTGACGATAACTAATACGACGACTTGCGATAAATCATGGCGTTTTTCCATTAATCAAACGGCAGCACAATCAAAACGGTTCGATTTTTCAGTCAACCGTTTGGTTTGGAGTCCTCGAAATGCGATTCGTTTCCCCTTACAACTTATAAACGGAAGGATAGAACCGGAGGGTAAACCGATTTTCAATAAAAGATGCACTCGTTAATTACTTTCGCTTATTGATTTTACTTCCGGCTCCATTCATCTATTTTTCATTTCATATGTTATTCGTAAATTTTATTTAATTTTTATTTTTCTTTTAAATCCAAGTAACCTTTTTTACATTAATCGTTAATTAAAATTGTATTCTCGACATGCGCGATTTTAGGAATTATTATTTAATATCAATCTCAAAAAAAAAGTCTTTTGCGATTAAATAATAACACGCTTATGTACATGAGCGAATCAAACTGGCAATTGTTTATTGCACGTCGTCGTATCTTTTTATTGTTAATAAAGGGTGCGTGCGAAGGGTTGCTTTGCCCTTTTAAGATGTTTGCGCCTTTCGGAAGTATCTTCTTGCGAACCAATCGATATATTTCTCTTTAGACGCGACATAAAGTATTTTAACAGAGTTTTATATAACATTTTGGAAAATTACACGTAAAGCTTTATGGATGGAACTATTTCCGGGGCCTTTTAGCGGAATAGGTTGCGATAATGAGACAAAGATTTCCCGGAAGCGTATATTTCGAGAGGATAAAAGCGAAGGGCAAACATATGAGAATATCGGAGCGGATTTGAAAGTGGGGAGACCCCAAAATGTATGATCGGATCCCAACGATTTGTAATGTACAGCTACGTAGTGATTAGGAAACATTAGCGTAAAGATGTAACTATATTGCGTATGTGCGTGCAAGTATTGTATTATATTAAAAATTTATTTAGTTATTTTATGAATAAAAAATGCAAACTCTTTTTGCCGGTTCACACTGGAGGCTGTTTTTAGTGCTTGTGTACTTCCGCGTGTCGCGCCGATCGCGCGCGATTTTCTTTATCATTCTACCTCACATCATTTACGGAAATTAATTGAAAAGGGATCATCCATGCGGAATGATTGTATCAACGATTATACAGAAAAACAAATGCAAGAAACTTTCTTCTGACTTTCACGCGAGCCTTTATAAGTTTTTATTACGTCTACTTGTCTACAGGCGGAAAGGAACGAGAAATGGAGTACGAATTATTTAATAGCTGGCAATAAAAGTTTTTCTTTAAACAATTGTACACATTCTCATTACACCGTTCCGCGTATTACACAAGTTTGTCACGGAAGTTTCCTCAATCAAATGCGTCGATTAGTCGCTACAGAGAGAGAATCATCTGTGTATCTATATATATATATATATATATATATATATACACACACACACACACACACACACACACACTATCACTATCCTGATGTTTAAGTTTCTTCAACTTTCATTACAAGCTAATATACTTCATTAAATTTTCAGCCTTTTGTTTCACTAAAAAAGAAAAGAAAATATACTTCATTAAATTAAGAAGAATATACTTCATTAAATAAAGAAGAATCAATATGATGCGCTTTCAGTTTATTTGATTACGTCATAGTCAACACAAAAAAAGCCATATAAAAGGATAATTTTGTATCGTTTTCCAATTTTCATTTAGAAAAAAATGAAAATTAATATAAATCATACAGAAATCCAATATTTTCTAAGAAAAATATCATAGACAAAAGATAAACTTAACATTCAATTATTTTATATCATATTGAGTAAAAATATGCAGGATATTACAAAAGCAATTAAGATATTTACTGTGATGTGTAACTTTTGTTTTATAATATAATTTGATAATTTTTCAAAGATCCAAATATAATGAAAATAAAAATTCTATTCATTCTATCGATTCAATATTTAATAAAGAAAACGTTAGGTCGTTTGTCGATCATTTTGCATTTCGTACTATATAAAAAAATATCACAATATCAACAATGATTAAAATAATGAACGCAATGCGTAATTGTCAGTCGTTCAGCTCATGGCTGCTATAAATTTCCCAATAATTGAAATATTGGGAGACGATGTGAAAATTAGATTTTCAATAGGACGATCGTTCTAAATAAGAAAATTCCAAATAAGAAGATATAGTATAATGTAATTAAGAAATCAGCGCGGTGCGCGACTTATGACTCATCCTGCAGCTCAGTAATTATTATAAGGAGCAAAGAGCCAAAATTTTTATTACACGAAGAGGATTAGTTGCTGGCTAATGCCGCCATTGCGCGAATCAACGTAGCATTCTCTTCGCGAAGTCGTTCTCGTTCCACAGCCATCTCATGCTGTTGCTTTAAAAGGCGAGCCTCAAGCGCCATTATTTTATGGTCCCGATCTTCCAGAAGGGATAACAGCCTCCTGTTTTCCTCTTGCGCTCGTTCAATCAGCTGCGAATAATATTGCATTTGATTGTCAAATTATTAATTAATATAACATAACATAAAAAACATTAATATAACATAAAATAAATCTTATTTTCTGTTATGATAATTAGGTCTCGGAACGTCTTTCTTTTATTAAAAATTCAATTTACGTAATTGGGCATATTTTGTTTAATTTATTTATGACTTACTTCGTGTGGGTTGTCACCCGTTGGCGTCGGCAATCTGGGTCTGACAGTCACATTGACAGATGTCTGTGGTTCATGATTGCCATGATCCGATTGATTAATGCTGTCGGACTGATTGAGAGAATCGAACTCTTCGTCGTCGGCCTCCAAATCAGAATGACTAAAACGCAGACATCAACAATCGTATGTAAATCATGTTTCACTTATCATATAGATTATTAATTTCCGTTATCATACGTTATAAATCGCATGCTATTTATAAATCGCATTAGGCACGACCATCGATGCAGATACAAAGAATATCACATATAATTTTAATTTCAGTATAATCAGTACATGTTAATTTACGTTAGATTTTTCAAGATATTTGAAAAAATAATTATTATTAATTATGTATAACTTTGATAAGTAAAATAAAAATTTCATACGGTTTTTGTTCGTGTAATTTAACATATTTTGCTTTAAGCTCTTTATTTTATAATCACTGTAAACACATTTTTCCAAATTTTACTATATCGAATTATGACAAAAAGTACGAATTATTATTCTTTAACTATGCAATGATATAAATTATATAAATATTACGTAACATGATAGACTAATTAAGTTTTTTATTAAGTAAAATTAAACTCTCAATTTTTCTTTTTGTTTCAAATACATTCAAATCTAATTATTTCATATATTATATTCTTTATATCCCAACAAATGCTTCATGTGTTTAAATTTTCTTGTTAATTATTTCACTACTATGACTAATATTGCTTTGTATTATTGTTAATATTTTGGAATATTATTACATGTTAGTTACATGGGAATATAGATTCAGAGAACATGATAGATTAAGCAATTTGTCAATCGATTAATCAAGATTTTCTATTAGCTCTATCGTACTTCGTACAGGTCGTGCCTAATCATAGTTCTTTCGATACGATGTCACGCACTTACCAACTGTGCCTAACTATACATGACCTGTATGAAGTACGGTAGTGCCTAGAAAGCAGTCGTGATTCATTAAAAGAGATAGTCAAAGACAGCTACTGCACCATGATAAAAACGCTCGTTTCCCAATTATCATTAATTACGTGTGAATATGCGTGAGATACCTTTTGTTTCGTCTTTGCGCATACATTCTAGCGTTCCGCTCCTGCAAAATGATGCGATGATAAATAACTTAGAAAAGATTTTATCTACACTCTACACAACAATAAGAAATGTCCTTTTACCTACGTCGAATGTAAAATATAACACTTAAATCTCTCTTTCTCTTAATACAAAATTTAATAAAAAAAAAAAGTCTAGCGTAAACTACGTGTAAACTGTGTGTGAACTAACTTCCATCTTCTCATACGAATCTTTTTCAATGTACATGTTTGTCAGAACGTTCTGCATATGTAAAAAGTAAAAAGTGGAATTGACTGCACTTACTTCTATTAATTCGTGATCAAGAAATTCATTGTGATGCGTGTTGTGCTTAGTTTCAAGGCAAGTGCCGCTAAGCTCCTCCTCGTCTTCTCCCGTACTACCTCCAGTGCTCTGAGAAATTATACATTTTACCAAATGTCCGAGATATTTTTTATATTTAAACGTTAAATAATTAAACTATATTCTATAAGTAATAATTATTACCAAGCTTGATGTTAAAATCCAAAAATTTTAATACGTGAATTAAAATTAATATTTTTATAATTTGAACTATAAGAAGCTATTATATTAAGCATTCAATTACTTTAAGTATTTAATTACTTTAAATATTTAATACTTAAACAATTATCATATTAACATTTTTTCTAAAGATAGTAGTTCACCTTTATTCACCATATTTTTTTTGTTTTACAAAATTTTTTCCTTAAAAATTTAATGAAAAAATAGCAATACATTCTTAACTCTTGATATCAACCGACTACTTCAATCGACTACTTTAGTAAGACGTTGAAAATCTAAGATTTAAAAGTATTCAAAGTAGAGGATCAAACTGTTTGTGTATGTGTATATTGTGTAAAAATTAAAAATAATTGAAAAGAATAAATTTCAAGAAGTTAGAAACGCGAGAGTAAGATGTAAGATTTCAATAATGCTTATGTTTAGAAATAATTCACAGTCCTACATAAAAATTTCTCGAAATTCTAAAAGCCATATCATTACTATGCTTCATTGCAATGAAATTGAATCGATTACTTATGGCTTGATTGACGATAACAATGGCGAACCTCTGTCGATGGTAAATGCACGACTCCTGTGCTACGCCGTTTTTCTCGGAGTTTCCGTCGATCGCGTTGCTGCTTCCCCTTGTTTATATGCGTTGGCCTGTGCAAACAGGATACGACACTAAAGACACTAGAACCAGATCCAGAAAGTAGTATTAGGCAATTACGTAAAGTTCCGTGCATCAAAGATGCTGTTGGCTAATGGACACTCCAAGCGCGACAATAAGTTTCCATGGTTTTTTTTTTCAGCTTCGTAAGCATATACGATCGCGATTTACATACCGGCCAGCCACACGTTTATCCTGTTTTCTTATTATGGGTTTGCTTTGAGGATTTTCATGCTCGAGCGGAAGCACAGGATTCGAACTTGTGTCATATCCTGCAGCACCCTGCGATTCTTCAACATCGGGTGTATTTTCTGTGAAAAAAAAGGATGAATCGCTTAAATCGACAAGGTCAAGTTAAAACACCTGGTCATCACAAATGGTTTCCCACATTATGTTTTTCTAAGTCATTCTTAAATACTTAGGTCATTATTTAGAATATCTCTAAATTATTAGTTTTAATAGTATCAATTAAATGTTTGATTATCGTTTCGTTATAAAATAATATAAAACTCCGCCATCTTTTTAGCTCTAAATATGGAACATATTTTTCATATCTGGTCTTTATATATATATATATTTTTTTTTATTTTTTTAAATTCATAGGTATATTTTATTAAAATATTTGTGTTATTTATTGCTTCTATTTAAGACTCATATATAAGCTTCAAAGTAAAGCTTTAGGAAATTATTTATGCTTTCTTGAATTTAAATATCTGCCACTATAATTTTCTACACAAAAAATTTTTAAATTTTTTAAAAAAATTATTAAATTTATAGTCTCCTATTCTTTATCAATATTTTTCTAATTCTTCATTCTCTGTTTAAATTCAACAGTAAGTAAGAATAAAAAGTTTAAAAGTCTCGAGTTATGTAAACGCTTTTAGTAAGCTGTTTAACACGTACTTTGAAAGCTTATGGAAGATACATCTCCTGTCCTTGCTGGGCCTACTCTAGGTCTACTTCTGATTTTGGTTCTCCTGGTATATTCAAAATCGTTCTCAAAGTCTTCCTGGCTAACAGAGCTGGACGCCATGCCGGTGATATCGCTGCAATGTAAGAATTCGCTTGATTATAAATGCGTCGCGAGACACATAACAGCACCGTCCGCGCTGCGTGTGCGTGTTGTGCAAAGAGAGAGAAAAAAAATGGGTCCTTACAAAAAATACCTGGACATCTGAACAAAGGGTAGGTGACGTGCGACCTATACTTGCGGGGGGGTTGATCCCGTTCCGTGCGGGTGCCCGTGGAGTTTATACCGCACGATTTATGCTACTGTCTCGGGAATCGTCTGAGAAAAAGGGAGAGGAAGAATAGTCGAGAGGAGAATTTTTCTTTTTCTTTTCTTTAATTCTTTTTGAGAAACGAGCTCGCGATTGGCGAAATAAAAAAAAAACTGAACGAATGTAAACGAATCGAAAGTAAAAAAAAAAAGAATTAAAAAGAAAAGACGCAACGTGTACAGGTAGATAATGCGAAGCCGTAATCGGGAACGGGCTAATCATGATGGATCACCTGAGGAGGAGGCCCTCGGCTGCCGATCCGGTGACTCACTGGCGACCCGAATGTGAGACTGACAGCTGTCAGCCAACGTGAACGGCGATCATAAACATCGGCCGGAATGGGCGCATAGCTGATGCGTAGCCGCGCGATCGGCGTATCGATCGTCGTGTTTGTGGCAAGTGAATTAAGAGAATCGGAGACGTCGAGGCGACTGCGTTCACCGTCCACCGAGGGCTGGCGACGACTCTCGTCCAAATGGAAATTGTGAAACCGCCGCAAAACCCGCTACAACGACCGCCAATAATTGTCTTAAGTTTTTTCGCTTGTTGTGTGTCCACTGCGCTAGACCGCCCCCACCTTTGGCGTGAGCACGATGCGTAGTAAGTCAGGTGACAAACCGCACGGTGACTAGGCCGCAGCGATCGTGCGCAGCGGCTGTGCCACAAACGTAATAGAGAATAAAGAGCGGACACGAGGGCCGAGTAAGTGTCGGTCCACAATAAGTATTTAATCTTTAAGCCGTAAGAAATTGACTAATCATAGTCGAGTATTCTTTTCATATTCGATTATAATTGGTCAATTTCTTACTTCTTAAAGCTTAAATTACCTATTGTGGACCGACACTAATACGTAAAGAGAGAAAGAGATATCGCTGGCGATGAGGGGCGGAGGAGGCTCTCGTTTACCACGCTGCCGATTGGCAAATTTAAAATTGAATTATTTGATTGGTTAATCCAATGGAAAATCTCCAGATATCGGTCGCTGTAAGTGGCTGGGTCTAATTGCAACGTCAAACGCGTCCTTTGGAGGGTCGATTTTGAAACGAGAATTGAAGATTACAAAAGTGAGAAAATTTACTATCTTTTGACATATGAAGTTGCAGATACTTTAGTAAATTTTCTCACTTTTGTAATTTTCACTGCGTTTCAAGAAACACAATCGATCCCTTGAGCTGGATGATACCACGTTGCTAATTGAATATCAGATTTTCTGATTGGTCGTCCACTGGACAATTTCTAAGCACCGGCCAATGTGAGTGAACGTGTCCAATTCAGACGTGGATAAAACTGGACGTTCCTAAATTTGTTTGAGCTGCGGTCCATTTTTATGTTCATTTTTATTTTAATTTCTAGTATAGGTAAGTTAAATTTTCATTTAACTTATTTTTTTATTTTTAAAAATGTCATTTGTCATATGATAAATTTTTTAACTATGTTAATTGATTAGGAAATGAATTTCTGGAGATTTAAAAACATTTTAAAGAGCATCTCGTTTGACCATTTTGCGACACGTCTACTTACATCAGTCGATGTTTAGGAACTTTTAAATAGATCAGTCGGAAATTTTATATTTAATTGATGACAATTGGATATCACGTTTATGATTTTAACAGTTTGAGCGATCGTTTACTGGATGTAAGATAATGAATAACGATTGCATTCAAAACAACACAACAAGCATACTACCTCTTCTCACATTTTAACATATAATGTATATAAATATAAAATTTATATAAATTTTTAAGAATATAAAATTTTTTCAATAAAATGAGAATAATTTTAAGAAAACTCTACAAGAGACATCATAATTAACATTTCATCAGTAACAATATAATACATATTACATAATACAAATTTATTTCAAAAGATTATCTCATTATGTTTATAATTAACCATATGAGTACATTATTCTTAAGAAAATTATATAGATAATTGCTTAGAATTATATAGATATCTAATAGATCAATATTAAAACCGCAAAATTAAGAGAAAAATAAGAGAAACAAACATATAAAGTTGTAGAAGCAAAATATTAAAAAATAAAATTATCTTAATATTTAAATTCAGTAAAACAATTTGTCGTACGATCAATCTATGAATGACAATTGATAATTATTTATAAATTTCCAAACGATAAAATTTAATCTATGCACACATAAAATTATATTTTATATATATAAAATATATATTAAAGATGATACAAATATATTTTTTGCTTAATCTAATATTTTACGTAGAAATAGGCTTAAAAACATATTGCATAAAGATATACATTACTATAAAATCACTTCATATCATAGCATTTAATTGTTCTGTAACTTATGATCAACTTATTTTTAATTTTATTATCATTCAATTTTCTGAAACATGAAACCAATTCAATAAATCAACATTTAAATAGCAAAAATGTTTAAAATAATCAGAAGATATTAATTTTTAAGAATTATTAAAAAGTATTTTTGTAAATTAAGCTACATGGATTAAATAGATAATAAGATATACTTAATTTCAAATAGTTCCTATTTCGTTAGAGAGAACTTTAATTTACTCATGAGAATATTCAATATTGTAAATTAACCTTTTACTCTTAAAAATCATCTGTCAAGAAATCGATCAGATGAAAGCAATCAGAGAAACTTAAAAAAAAAAAAAAAAAAAAAAAAAAAAAAAAAAGTAAACTAGTTAGATTCTAATTTTATGTATGTCATCGTTAAAAAGTAGATTTATGTTATTTTCTATTTATTTTGCAGTCTGCTCAAACATTTTCCTCCATGTGATTGGTTCTTACATCGAGAACATACACGACCTTGAGCTGGACACATAGACATAGCATGATCTCCACCACATCTGAGGCAATTTTTTACAATAGGAACTTTACATAACCATGAGAAATGGTTCACCTTGCCACAATTTCTGCACAATTCACCAAAAGCAAGACAACGTGATTGAACGTGATGCGTTCCACACTTACTACAGTCGAATACGTATTTTATCTTACAGTTATCCGTAAAATGATTGTACCCTTTACACTTGTCACATTGTGCTCCATGAGCTGGACAAGAATTTCTGTCATGGCAAGTGCCACAACGAACGCATTGCATTTCAGTGAATTGCGAATTAGAAGATTGCGCTTGTACATTCTCGCGATTTTTTTGCAACGCAAATTCCTCGCACTGTTTCCAAAACAGCGTAATTTGATGAAGATCCAACGATCGCAAAAATGGTGCAAGATCCTCTCCTTTGGATCGTATAAAAAGCATAGCTTTTCCCGTGAAATTGTGACTTTTAATATCCTGTATAATTTTCTCCTTTACGATGCCCACAAGGTCACTATGATTGCTCGCGATAGCAACAAACTATAAAAAAAAAATCATATGTGAGTTCACACATTCATATAAATCAGATGAGAAAGTAAAAAGGATATCTTTTCATATTTATTTTAATATATATATATATATATATATATATATATATATATATATATTATATATATTTTCATATCTGACAAGTGCACATAATAATGTTACAAAAAATAGTTATTCGTTGTTTTGTTCTAATTATTAATTTTTTTTATTATTTGTATATATAATCAATATTAGCATTACACATTTATAGACATCAATATTTATATATTACAAATAATTAAAATCATAAATTTTTAGGAAATTAAACTTCAAAATCATAAACAAGATAAAATTGAATAAGATGAAAATAATTCTTTAATTTAATCACATTTTCATAGTATTTACTTTATCACTCATCAATCAATTGAACATATTTTTAAAAAAGAACGAATAATTTTGGAATTTTAATAGTATGTTATAATTGCATTTTATAACAATATGAATTATATAATGCTGTTGCTGTTCCAACTTACCATCAAGTTATCAATATACTTATCGACATTTTCGTTATTCTGTTTTTTTCTATTTCCAAAAATGAAGTGTATATCCAGCTGACATAATACTGTTTCTAAGTCTTTTACTTCATGAACACTTGGGAAAAGATTCTTATATGCTTCTTCTCCAATTGGTCCAATCAACATTAACATCACGATCGTCCACTGATTCTTATATAATTCTTTGGCATCTTCTTTCTGAAGAAAACTTAAAAATTTGTGTTTCCATGTACACCAACATCTACCAATGTTTATTCCTGTATAACTTAATGGTGCAAAGTTGTGATTTTTGTTAAATATATCCAGTGTTTGATTTCCATTCTCTGCTATAAAAGCAATAATATAACATATGAAGTATCATGTTAGAGGAAATATTTTACTACTTACCTATATTTAATTCATGAATATTTTCAATTTTTGTTTGTTCAGACATATTTTTCAATCCACTTTGTAATATTTACGTCAAAATAACTCTGTATATCATAAACTATTTTTTTTATTAGCTTAACAAGATTATTTTTTCAATTTTATTATATTATTTTAAAAAAGAAGAAAAGTACAATAATTAAAATATAAATAGAAGCTAAATTAAATAATCCTCTTATATAGCAACAATATTTAATCACAATATCTATTATAAATAATATGAAAAATTAATTAGATATTAAAATAATAAAAACTAATAAATAGTTTTAAAATCAAATAATTTTAAGGTTTTTAAAAGCTATTTAAAAATGCGCTATTTAAAAATGCGCATTGCTGATAACAATTGCCCATAGAAATATGAAGAATCGTATCTATTTATGGCCTAAATGATTAATACCTACTTCTTCTTATTTTCTACGCTGAGAAAGGTATAATTACAGATGTTACAAAATGATGAAATCAAGTTATGCAAATTTTTGCTCTGGGGATTCCCCTGAGATTGCAAGAGGATCCTACATCCCACACACTGTATCTTGCATTCGGATTCCACTGCACTAATAATCACACTTTATATTACTTTACTCATCATTAATACTTATTAAAAGAAATATGTAATACTGACGAGACGGATTTTTAATCCCGTATAAAAATCAAGGAAAACAAGTATCTAACTTGGATACTTGACAAAAACGCTTCACATCTACTCTCAGTCTCTCACGTTGACGATACTGAACAAAAGAGTGTCTGATATAGTCGAGCTATATTTTCAAGCAGCGTTGCCACGTTGATTAAAACAACTGTTCGAATGGATACGTCAAATTGTTTTTACATGCTTAGAAAAGAGACACGTTTTCAAAACATTGATGCGCTGAGGAAATTTTATATTCTCACATATATGTAACATACAACACGAGTGCGTTTTTGTACATCTCTCTTTTTATAATTTTAAAATGTCACATTCTTGCGATTTTATCCTGATGTGATTCGCTTACATTATTACAATGTGCTGTAAATGTTATTGTAAATTAAAAGACGATATTTAAAGAATGCACTGATAAATGCTCGTTTGTGAACAAACATTGTCACGTTATTTGTACATATGTACAAGACATTTCAGAATTATCCATACAGTATGGAAATAATCTTAAAAAAATAAAAAATAGTTTTGCTTTAAAATTGTTTTATTATTCTTCAAATTTTTTATTATTTAAAACATTGAATAAAAAATATTTTAGCGCGATAGTATATATTTTATAAAGATTATATATATTCTTGATGAAAGTAAAATGGATCATTTAAAAAACATTTTTTAAAAATAAACTCTTAATTTTATGTTTAATCTGTGTTAAGTCAAAACAATATATATAAATATCTTCTACGTAGTTGAGATCTTGCTTTTGTATTATTCTTTTCTATGTCAAAATTCCCTTGAAACGTTTTCGCTACGGTTTTCTAAGATATTTTAGTAAGATTTCAGTCATTTCAATAAACTTTCAGAAATATTTAAAAAAGATCGTAGACCTTAGTTATCTTTCTGGAAGAAAGCTTTTTCTTTCGATGGGCATGACGATTCATACTTATACTCCGATCTGGCTATTATATGAAGCGATAAGATTATGTGTAATCATATACTACTGTATCAAGAATCACATTCGAGAGTGACAAATAAAATTTTTTTTGTAACTCTTTACAACATGTTTTAATATATTTATAAAATATTTTATAATATCAAGCATTTTCTCTTGATTACAAATAGAAAAGTGAGAAATTTTCACTACATCGAAAAGTAGATTAATATCATATAATATTGATATAGTTGAAAGAAATAACGCAATTAAATCAAGCTCTTAATTATGTAAAAGATACAATAATATTTATAAATATATGTTCTAGTTTAACATGAATTAAATATAAAATTAACAATTTTGTTAAAAATATTTTTTTAAAAATAATGTATTTGACTCTTGAAAATGAAAATACATATATAATGATAGATAAAATAAACACTATCATGCCAAAATATTTGCCTATTTTGTTTTCGTTAATTAAATGATAGAAATATCACAAAAATAATAAACAATTTTTAAAAAAAATTATTTTTTTTATTTAAAAAATTTTTGTAATATTAATATATTATTACATATTAACATGTAATTATCCTATGTATTTTATTATTTTAACTATATTTTTTTTCGTCGACATGACGAATTAACTCTTGGAAATAAGAAAAATGTAGTTTATAATAGTATATAATAGTATATAAAACAAATGAAAAATATTACGTCTTCAATGATAAAAAACAAAAAGTAAGGATTAGAATAGAAGTATCATTTCAAATAAGAAGAAAGAATTTCAATCTTTTTTTTAATCTTCTAGATATTTAACAATAGTGTTTGATGAATAAAAATATTGTATTTTATGTACATAAAAAGACATAAAAATATTAGAACGGAAATTAATCATAAAAGGATACTTGTAGAAATCAGAATTGAAAATCTTTTAGCAGTAGTATATTTATTTTATGTCATATTAATTTATAAAAATTTAATTTTTTATATTGCAAAAGATTATAATAGAATTTAATAAATAGGATCTTTTAAAATATGATAGTGCAATAAATTAAAATGGAAACATGTTCACATTAATATGTTTTTTGTTTTATATAAATAATGTAAAGAAAAGAAATGTGACGTGAAAAATTAAATTAATATATAGAAGTTACAGTTTACCGCGACAGTAAAAGAAAATTATATGTTTATATATATATAAAAGATATCTTTTTTTAGATACACGTAATTTGTATCTAAAGTATTTTCATCTGTATTTGTATTTTTATTTGTAACATAAAATTATGTAACTCTTATATAATTATAATTTTTAAATGTACATATAATTTTCGTTGTGACAAATATAAATTTTTACTTTTATGTTGATTTGAAAAAAAGGCAAGAAGTATAAACTAATATTTTTCTACAGTTGTGCAACATACACTTTTAACATTTAAAAATTGCTGTAGACTTTACAAGAGTGACAACAAAGAAATTTAAAATGAATAAATATTTTTATTATGAATGCGGATATTGTGCAATGTAATGTTATTACATGTATGCTGTAATAATTACAATGTTATGCGGAGATTTTATCATGGGAGAGTGTTTCTATGAGGGAACGGGTCAAGCTTGTAATCATGGAAATAACTTTGCGACTGCTTGTGGTAAAGGTTTGTAGGTGTGGTTTGTACCAGTAATTATTTTAATGTTCTTTATTAATTAAGACACGCATTGGTCAGGAATATTATTCTAGAGGACAGAACGATCACGCACTTTTTAATATTTGTCTTTGATTTTACAACATCTACAGTGTTGCTTTTACAAGCTCACAAAGACACAATTTAATCTGTTCGAAAATAAAATTATATTATGATTAATAATTTTGATATAGCAATGCAAGCGAAGTAGTCATGGTTTTATGACCATAAAATTATTCGGTATTATTCATTGCCTTTCACATCGTAGAATCATGAGAAATCTTCCTGTAATTTTTTAATCCTCCAGTTGTTGAGAAATCGATTCTTCTTTAAACGCGATATTTTGTGTAATTATAAATTAAAAATAGATGTAAATAATTTTGAAAAATAAATTATGCTTATCATTTTTATCTTAACATTCTTATTATTAATATTAACATTCTTAACATTCTTTCAAGAAATGCAAAATATTCTTTCTCGTTATACGTTAAAAAATGTTGATATGATATGTTAAAAAAATGTATCAGTTAAATTTTTGTATTCAACATTTATATGTAAATTTATTTCACATTTGTTGTGTAATTGTTTTGGATAATTTTATGCTTAATTAATTTACAACATAAAATTGATAAATCAAATATTGTTAAATTAATACAATTTGTTAATTTTATAAATACGATAAATATAACTTAACTGCATATTATGTTACGAAAACTGCATTTATTTAATATTAAATTAATTTTAATGTTAATGTCATCATTTAACATATCCATATTATATTAACACGGAGTATCAAATGATCAATTATTTTTGATCCTTTTTATTTTTCTAAATTAATACTTTTTTCTAATATCGAAAATAAAATTTAAACAACTTTTGACTTTAATTTTCCATCAGCATAAATAAAAAATCGATAAAAATTTAGAAAACAGACATAGAAGTTACCGCTCTACTTCTAATATTAAATTAATATCAAAATTTGAATAGTTCAGACTTACAACGTAAACTTTATGTTAAATTTATATAATTCAAGTTTCTTTACCGTATAATTTTAAAGACATTTTGTACATTAGCATATTCTTTTATATAGCTCTTTTTAAAATTAATCCTTTTATACATATTCATACGTATAACTTTGTCGCTTTCAATTAATCCTTTCTGCGGTCCGAGATATCTCGTGCCAGATATCTCGGAATATCAAATTTGTCATATCGCACGGGAAACGCGATCCGACCGTTATCCAAAGTGATACTTCTCATTAATTTCGCAGTCCTCGTCACGTATCAGCCGCCGCGTGACACTTCAAACGAAATCTCAATTTCCCAAAGTCACCGGGTGCTCTCCTCTCGACCGGCCCTGGTCGCGGGTCGATAAAGCCTCTCACTCTCTCCCGCTTCCACATCGCGCATCCTCCTCGGAGAGCGAGAGACGAGTAGGACGGAAAATCGTCGGAGTTCTGTCAGTGGCCTCTCGGACACGGTAGTGCATCGAAAGTGGAGAACGTCTGCGCCAACACGGTTCTCCTCGCCTCGACGTCCCGCGGCGTCTCTGCCGCGCGCCGTGAAGATCCGCACGGTAATTAATTCAACGTGGGCGCGGATGTGCGCGGAAAATGCGACGGTAGTGAAAAACGCACGACGCACGAGCTGTCGCACAGCTCCGCGTATCGTCCCCGCGACGTTCGTGCGCGTTCACGTGTCGAGACCCGTCGAAAACGGAACGTTCGATCGGTCCTTCTTCCGCGAGAAACTCGCGCTCCTTTTCTTCGTGTGTCGAGAAACACGCAGCCCCCGAGAATTGCCGCGGGCCTACGGGATGTCCCGTTCCTGCCCAGCCTCCCCCGACAGACACCCCACGGAAAAACGTCCGGCGTACGACTCTTTTAGCTTGACGTGACAGATCACGACTTTGTCATCATTGACAAAGTTAATGGGAGCATTATGTAAAAGTATTTTCTTGTTTGCCGACGTTAGTCTTCCGTATTCCCGCGTGTTGTTATTATATTCTTCGTCATTCCGACGCGCATCTAGATATATTACCTCGACGGAAGAATAAGAGCTTCTTTGAAAAAAATACGTTTAAAGGATAAGTGGGATAAGAGGATGTGGACATTGCGCGTTGACGCGGTTCTCCTTACAAGAGGTTGCTCTACAACTTATTCTACACAAGAATATCCCGAGTTTCCTTCATCCACAGACCGTGGACTCTTTGATCAGTCTGCAATTAACTTTTCTTTAACACTTAAGCACTGGCGCGGGACGGGTTGGTATCGATGTTATTTCATGTGATGAAATTTTCACAAAGACATATCGGAGATATCGGAATATTCATAGCTCTGGAATCGCAGGCAATTAGAAGGAAACAGGTCTTGCGTACCAACAAATGCAAATAAACAAGGAAACCTTTTGTAAAAATTTTAAATAAGCTAAACTTAATAGAATTAGCGAAAAATTGAATTAAATGTCGTCAATTTCTTGAACTTTAAATATCGCTGTGTCAGAAACAGATTGAAATATTTAAAAATTTTTTAAATACTTGAATAACGTTAAATAAGATTCTCTGTTTCTTTATGTTAAAAGTGCAATTTTAAATACCTCTGTGTCACAAACAGATTGAAATATTTAAAAATGTTTTAAATATTCGAATAATGCTAAATAAAATTCTCTGTTTCTTTATGTTAAAAGTACAATTTCTAGAAAAGGATTTACTGATTTTTAAACGCTTGTGTTTCGGAAAGTATGGATTAATATTTTCTAATATTCTCGTTTAAAGAATTGATCGTGTTCTAAAGAAGAACAGTTCGTGGGTAACAACACGCCAGGGAAAATCATTATAAATAATTCCAAAAGCTTCTCATACTCGGCGACTTCAGCGAGTC